GTGAGTACTTTGTCTTTGGGTTTTTTTGGATTTTTTTTTTTTTTTTTTGGGGGGGTGTTGGGATGGGTTGGGATTTGCGGGTGAGGATATATATATATGTGTGTGTGTGATGTGTGTGTGTGTGTGTGCTGTTGTGTGTGTGTGTGTGTGTGTGTATTTCTCTGCGAAGGTGAAGGGTGTTGTGGGTGTATTGTGGATCCTGTATCAAAAGAGTTTATGGCAAAGGTTTATGTTTGTGATCCTCTGCGGTTTAATGGGTTGTTAGTTTAGAGGGGAGACTGTCTCTTGGACAATCGGGGTCTTTTAAGGGACGTTTTGTAGCACTGAGGATGATGGGTTTGGCGTGTGGGGCTATTTGTTGGCCCTTGGAATGCACGACAGACGCGCACCACACACACACACACGCACACACACACGACACACACACACACACACACACACACACACACACAACACACACACACACACACCACACACACACACACACACACACACACACACACACACAACACACACAGAGAGAAGAGGAGAGAGAGAGAGAGAGAGAGAGAGAGACGAGAGAGAGAGAGAGAGAGAGAGAGAGAGAGAGAGAGAGAGAGAATGAGACAAGCAGACAGACCATGAGGAGAGAGAAAGCGAAGAGAGAGAGACAGAGAGAGAGAGACAGAGAGACAGAATGAGAGAGAATCCTCAGCCGACGGGAAGGAAAGAAACAAACAGGCGCGCGCGAGGACGTCAGCTGGAAATTGTGAGGATTGTGAGGAGGGCGCGATGAGGAGTCAGCTTTAACCGGGACACGTCGAAAGATGGGCCGCGGGAGGAGAGGCGGCAGCGTGGTCGTGGTCTTACAGGTGGTGGTGGTGGTGGGGGGAGTGGGGGGAGGAGGGGGAATGGGGAGTGGGGAGGGGTGGGAGGAAGGGGAATGGGGAGGGGGGGGAAGGGGGAAGGGGGAGGAAGGAGGGGAAGGGGTGGGGAGGGGGAGGAGAGGGTTAGAAGGGAAGAGGAGGGGTTTTAGGGGAGGGTTAATGGGAGTGGAGAGGAGGTGGGGTTAAAAGGGGAGGGGGGTTAAGGGGAGTGAGGAAGAGGAGGGAGAGGGAAGGGGAAGGGAAAATAGGGAAAGCCAGAGTGTGGAGTGCTGGAGGTCAGGTTGTGTTGGAGGATCGCCGAGGACAATGCTGGAGGTCATCGAGGATGTGTTGGAGGGTGACCTGGAGGAGTGCAGGAGGATCCAGGAGGTGTTGGAGGGTCACCGAAGACAGTGCTTGAGGACGACCCTAGATAGTGTTGCGGTATAACTGAGGATAGTGTTGGAGGAGCATCGAGGATAACGCTGGAAGGGTCATTATGGATAGTGCTCAAGGATCAAGGATCTTGCTGAACGACGCTCGAGGATCACCAGCAAGTGTTGGAGGACGACAGGAATAGTGCTCGGTGAGGATAGTTTTGACGAAGGATTAAAGGTTTTGTTGGAGGAATACCTGGAAGGATAATGGAAAGTCAGTAAGGATAGTCTCTGGCGAAGCACTAAGTATAGTTTAAGCGAGTACTGAAGAATCACTTGGGATAATGGAGTATCAACGAGGAGAAATCACCCGGGATGGTGTTTGGAGAATCACCCGGGATGGTGTTGGAGAATCACCCGGGATGGTGTTGGAGAATCACCCGGGATGGTGTTGGAGAATCACCCGGTATGGTGTTGGAGAATCACCCGGGATGGTGTTAGAGAATCACCTGGTATAGTGATGGAGAATCACCCGGTATAGTGTTGGAGAATCACCCGGGATGGCGTTGAAGAGTCATTGAGGATGGAGTTGAAAGATCGCCAAGGGCAGCGTTGGAGAATTCCGCGCTGATGGCGACGGAGAATCCCGGCGCGCGAGGGAGCAGAAATGGCATTGTGGAGAGATGTGTCCCAGTGTCCGGGATTCTTGGAAGTTCTTCAAGAAAGCTCATTGTAATGCGTGCGGTGATGGTTCTTATCAGTTGACGCAGATAATCCCTCTTATTGATTCCGAGAAATTATTTTTAATTGATGGTCGAGAGTTGTCGTGACGTCATCGCGTGTAATCCAAGTTCTGTAAGAATGGTGTTAGGAAGTTACAGATGATAAATTGTTCAGAAAAATTGTTTCGTGTTCAGAAAATTGTTCTCGTTTAAATTGTTCTCGTGTTCAGAAAAATTGTTCTCGTTTTCAACAAAATTGTTCTCGTGTTCATATTATCGATCGCAAGTGGATCTAGATCCGCAGATACCATTGCTGGTTCGGGTCATACCACAAGGTACATACCACTCTCGTGTTCAGCAAAATTGTTTTCGTTCAACAAAATTGTTTTCGTGTTCATATTATCGATCGTAGATGGATCTAGAGCTGCAGATACCATTGCTGGTTCGGGCCATACCACAAGGGTCATACCACATAAGGGGTGAATGGTAACCGTGTTCAGAAGACCCTTAAGGGTACTATGACCGTAGGTGAGTAAGCTTCATGAGGGCATCGGATATACTTGGGATTATAGGAAGAAGTATTACCATGTCGTTTCGAATCTCTCGCTGCCTGACTGGAGAGCCCTGACGGGGTGGAGGGGGAGAGGGCCGTAAGGAGGAGGGGGTCGGACGGGGTCGGGGAGGTGAAAGGGGGAGGGGGTCGTCAGGAGGGAGGGGGGGGGGGTCGGAGTGAGGGAGGGAGAAGGAGGGAGGGAGGGAGAGGGGACAGGGGGTCGTAAGGGGAGGGTGGAGGATGGGGGTGGAGGGTGGGGGATGATGGGGGTCGAGGGAGGGGGGAGAGGGGGTGGAAGGAGGGAGGGAGAGAGGGGGGTCGGAAGGAGGGAGGGAGGGAGAGGGGTTTGAGGAGGGAGGAAGCGGTTGAGATTTCCATCTGTTTGTAAGTGTTCCTTGCCTCTCCAGCTGTGAGAGGAACTGGGCTGATTCTCGTGGGCGGACTTCTTGTAATTTGCTTTCCATCAAGTGAGGTTTTCCTTGATTTGGGCGTGATTTTTAGGGGACGCGGGATGGGAAGTACTCTTTTCAAAGGTTTTTCTTCTCTTTCTCTCTCTTCTCTTTTCTTTCTTTCTTCTTTTTCTTTCTTTTCTTTCTTTCTTTCTTTCTTTCTTTCTTTCTTTTTCTTTCTTGTCTTTCTTTCTTTCTTTCTTTCTTTCTTTCTTTCTTTCTTTCTTTCTTTCTTTCTTCTTTCTTTCTTTTCTTTCTTTCTTTCTTTCTCTCTCTCTCTTCTCTCTCTCCTCTCTCTCTCTCTCTCTCTCTCTCTCTCTCTCTCTCATATTCTATCAGCTTCCATATTAACCTTTATCTATCTATGTGTCTCCCCTCTCTTTCCCCTGTCTCTCTCTTTTTCTCTCTGTCCCCACCCATCTCCAATTCCTCCCCATACCCCTCTACATGTCCTCTTTCCCTCACTCCCTCCTTACCTTTTTCAATCCTTCCATCCATCCTTCTGCACGCCCTCCCTCCTTCCCTCGCTCCCCTTTCTTTCCCTTCGTCCTTTCCCTCCCCTCTCTCTCCTTCCCTTAATATCCATCCAACTTTTCTTGTGCCTCTCTCTGCGCACTTTCTCCCTCTCTCTCTCCACCTCCCTCCCTCTCCCTGCTTCCCTCCTCCCTTCTTCCCTCCCCCTCCTTCCAATCCCTTCCCTCCCTCCCTTCTTTCCTTCCCCTCCCTTCCCTTCCCTCCCCTCCCTTCCTCCCGCCCTTCCTTTCCTTGCCCTCTTCCTGCTTCCCTCTCTCCCTTCTTCTCCCTCCCCGCCCTATCTCCCTCTCCCTCCCTTCTTCCATTCTCTCCCCTCCCCTCTCACACGCACCCCTTCCCTGCGGCGAGCGTGAGTGGGGGTTTGTGAGGGGAGACGAACCGATAGCTCCCCTCAGGTCCTGGTGGTTCTACTGCTCTCGTCCCTGCTGGCCCGGATTATTGCCACTCTTGTAATGTTTTCTTTTGTTTTTCTTTTAGTTTCTTTCTTTTCTTTCTTCTCTCTTTCTTCTCTTTCTCTTTTCTCCTCTCTTTCTCTTTCTCTTTCTCCTTTTTCTCTCTCTCTTCTCTCTCTCTCTTCTCCGCTCTCTCTCCTCTCTCTCTCTTCTCTCTCTTTCTCTCTCTCTCTCTCTCTCTCTCTCTCTCTCTCTCTCTCTCTCTTCTCTCAATCTCTCTCTCTCTCTCTCTCTCTCTCTCTCTCTTCTCTCTCTTCTCTCTCTCTCCCTCTCCCTCTCCCTCCCTCCTCTCTCCTCCCTCTCCTCTCTCTCCTCTCTCTCTCTCTCTCTCTCTCTCTCTCTCTCTCTCTCTCTCTATCTCTCTCTCTCTCTCTCTCTCTCTCCCTCTCTCTCTCTCTCTCTCTCTCTCTCTCTCTCTCTCTCTCGTCTCTCTCTCTGCTCTCTCTCCTCTCTCTCTCTCTCCCTCCCTCCCTCTCTTCTCCCTCTCTCTCTCGTCTCTCTCTTCTCTCCTCTCCTCTCTCTTCTCTTCCTCTCTCTCCTCTCTCTCTCTCTCTCTCTCTCTCTCTCTCTCTCTCTCTCTCTATGTCTCTCTCTCTCTCTCTCTCTCTCTCTCACTCACTCCCTCTCTCTCTATCTATCTATCTATTTCAATATGTCTTGTTTGTTTGTTTGTTATTTCATTATCTTGCTTTCTAGAACTGTCGGAGATGACACTGTCCTGTTTATTTTATAGTTATCTATCTCGTTATATATTAATTTCATTTTGTTTTTGTTTTTTTTTGTAATTCTGTTGCCTCTTTTACAAATAAATATTTTATAATCCCGTAATATTAATATTCAAACACCGAAATTGCCTGGGTTGTGCATCTCCGTGCTTCCGGCTTATTGCTGCATAATAAATCTCTTCGTTTATAAAGGCATTAAATTCACTGACTCGGATGCCATGAATTTTCATCAGCGTCGGGAATACGAAGTCATTTTCGGATAATTATGCCTTATTCAGCTAAATGTTCATGGAGTCCGGGTATTTTGCTAAACAACGCGAGGCGGTTTGTTCCACGCGCTGAA